CCAGTACTGGCTGAAATCTGCTTCCATTGGAAGCTGTACTTCCACTGGAAAACAAGGCTGGGGGGTATTTTGGCCTTAAGCCCCTCTGGGCCCAAAGACCAGTTTAATTCATCATTTTTTTAGCCCGTTCCTTGTGAGAGTGAAGCAATTCCTTGTGTTCCAGCCACTTGCTGTGAGCTGTGACCACGGGGCTTTCCAGGAGCACGGCCTCACCTTCCCAGAGGGGGGGCTGGAAGTGCTGTCAGCCAGCTCCTTGGAGAGGAGTGCTCTTCCTCCAGCTGTGCTCCATCCCAGCCAACATCTGGGCTGCTGTGGGGCACGGATGCTCACCTTCCCTACCACCAGCACATGGGTGGTGGTTCCTGGCATCCTGGATCCCCTGCCCTTTGCTGTCTGGGATGGAGCACCGTGCTGACTAACTGGTGGGGACAAGGGGACTGGAATGCTCTGGGAAATAGGAGTTTCCCTCTTGGAAATGTCACAGGAAGCGTGGAGGAAATCATGTGCTGTAGGAGCGGTTACCTCACATTTCTGTCTCATCCACCGGAGTCTGCAGGGCCTGAACAATGCGGTGCCAGCTGCCTTATAAATAACCCATTTTCCACTTCCACACCGGCTTTTCATTCCACGTGAGGAGAAAGGAAGAGCGTCACGTTGTGTTGGTTTGTGCCCTTCCAGAGGGGAGCACATTAATGATCCCCCCTGCTCTGTTTTAGTGTCAGAGCACAGCCCAGAAGTGGTCGTTGCTGCAGCCACCGGGTGCTGGTACACGTAGAGATAATAGTTCTTATTTTTTCGTTCGTGTTTTCATCCTGCCAAAGCTGAACACAGAAATTGTGGTGAAACCAAGCTGATCAGAGGGATGGAGCACCTCTGCTACGAAGAAACACTGAGAGAATTGGGATTGTTCAGCCTGGAGAAGAGAAGGCTCTGGGGTGACCTAATTGTGGCCTTTCAGTGCCTGAAGGGAGCTACAAGAAAGATGGAGAGAGACTATTGACAAGGGACAGGACAAAGGGGAATGGCTTCAGGCTGACAGAGGGCAGGGTTAGAGGGGATTCTGGGAAGAAATTCCTGCCTTTGAGAGCGGTGAGGAGATAGAATGGGTTTCACAGAGAAGCTGTGGCTGCCCCACCCCTGCAAGTGTCCAAGGCCAGGTTGGATGAGGCTTGGAGCAACCTGGGATAGTGGGAGGTGTCCCTGCCCGTGGCAGGGGAGTGGGACAAGATGAGCTTAAATGTCCCTTCCAACCCAAACCATTCTGGGATTCTCTGAAATGCATTTCTGTAGGACATCCCCCTGCAAGAGCAGGGCCCTGGGGTCCTCCCTCCTGGCGAGGTGGTCCCTGCCTGAGGATCCCAGTCGGGTGCGAGGAAAGAGCCTCAAACACCCTGCAGCTCCTGCTGACTCTGGTGATGGGGCTCTGAAGGAAAACGCCCCAGCACCCCTGGTTTTAAACACCCAGCTCCCTGTGCAGGGGTGGGATAGTGCTGGAGTGCTTTTTAATGTTCCTGTGGCTGACTCACGGAGCACCGAGGGCTGAGTCACGGCGGGTGAATGCGGCGTTTCACGTCGGGGCGAACCCAAATGGGAGCAACACCGCCTTCATTAGAGGAGCTAATATTGGGCTCATTATGGGCTTCATTAGATTTTTGAAGTGAAACAATCTAGGAGAGTTCCCTTTGCAGTGTATATAAACAGATTATTAGCATGGGAATGCCAGGGGTTTAATGGGATGCTGGGCTGGATGGAGAGGAAGTGAAACTTCAGATGTACCCCAAGTTTTTGGGTGTTTGTTGCCCATCCTGTTTTGTTTTAGCCATCTGACTCTCCTGAAATCCCATAAATTTTTCATGCAATTAGGGTTTTTTGCTTACTATATTTTAGAAGAAAATGCTGAAGGGAAAAGCTGTTTCCCTTTTTGCTTTCCTTTAGAAAGCTCTTTGCTATTCCAAACTTTTCCTCTTATAAAGGTCTTCACCTGTCCCTGAGGAGCAAAAGGTTTGCTCTGGTTTCTTCTGGTTGCTGTTCAGCCAGATCAGATGGCCCTTCTCATTATTATGGGAATTTTGGACATTTATTGCTCTTCCTTGCTTGAAATGTTGGTTTTCCTTTACCCCAGATGTCCAGTTGGACAAGGGCAGGTTGCTTTGTCCCATATTTTCCCCCAGCAGTGAAACAAAGCACTCTGGAAGCAGAGGGTTCCTTGGGAGCAGAGCTGCTCTCACCCTCTGTCCTCGGGCTACAGTTGAGGCAGGAACATTTTTTGGTGGTGGTGTGTTTGCTGGGGCAGAGTTTGCACCTCTCCTTCCAGAGGTGGAGCTGAAGGATGGACTGGCAGGTTTTTCTGGCCAGGAGCCCACCTAGAAAATAATGTTGCTGGTGACACTTTTGGATTTCTGCTGTTTTGTGCACTTTATCAGCTCTCTTCTGGTGGGGTTTTGTTCTTTCTCCCCCAAAGAGGAGAGAGTTGTGGCTGATACTCCTGAAGGATGCTGGAAGTCCAAGCTAAATGTGATTTGAAATGCAGATTTGTATCTCCCTCTTCATTGAGCACCATAGCCCTGAGTTTGGGAAGGAAATATTAATACTGCTGGTACAACCTTTGCCAAATAATCCTGTTATTCTCTTTGTGATTGTCTTTAAGACCTGATGAAGGATAGAGAAATGGGAAAGGACTTTATTTCACAGCCTGGTGAGTGCCTGTGTGGAACCAGAGCCTTGAGTAACTGTCGTGCATCCCTTGGACTGCAGCCAGTGTGACTTTAATGCATTTAAATAAATCTTTTATTGAAATTTAAGCTAATGTTTCATATTTTACTAATGTAGAAGTAAAGGGTCAGGGATATGATTATGCCTCTGTGCTTTAACAGCCTACCTGTCCTCTGTTCCACAGCAGAGCTTTGTGCCCTCTGAATTCACAGCAAATGCCTTATAAAATGCAGTGGCTTTAATTCCTTGGAAGCCAAGCAGATCTAGATGCAGCGTTCTGTAGCATTCCCAGCTGCAGGGATGTTTTTTCCAGACCTCCTTCCAAACTGGAGCAGCTGATTTACAGACCTGGAGAAATCTTCCTGCCTCTATCTCTGACCTTTGTGGGTCTCTCTGCCAGATGGCAGCGAATTTAAATGGCTTTTAAATGGCCTTTTCTTTGTCTCAGAAGCAAAAAGGTCTTCAGTGAGGTGGAGCATTCCTGGGAATGCTCACAATGGAGATCAAAAGTGCTTGGGAGGGTGGCTGTGGCCTGAGCAAGACAGAACCACAGCACGGAGATGGTGGGAGGTGGAGAGGAGCAACACTTCCAGGAATGTCCGTATTCCCTGGGGGAGGGAGGACAGTGCTATTTGCTATCCGCCTCCCTGGGTCTGCTGATCCCCTGCTCCCCTCCTGCTCCTGCTGCCCATGGGATGGGGGATGTCCTCAGCAGCAGGGATGCAGGTGGAGAACGTGCACGAGTGTCCTCCTTCCTCTGCTTTGGAAGAGGAGGGGATTTGCAAGCTGCCTGTTGAGATATTTAGTGTGTTAGTGGGGGAGCCAAGAGCACCAGGTCTCCCAGGTGTGTTTGTGGCTCGGGTGAGGTGTTACTGGATTTCAGAGCTACCTCTTGACCTGTTCTGGGGTGTTCCTGCAGCGCTGCCTCCCCCCGTCCATGGGGCTGGAATGTCGATCCCGTGGTGTTCGCTCTGGGCAATGAGCAGCATCGGCTGTTCTCACCTGCATCAGCCCAAATCAACGTCTTGGATCTTGTTGTTTCCCAGAATAGAAGGTTTTCCTATTGGAATTGCTCACTGGGTTGATATTGAAGTCCTGCTTCTGCTGCCCCAACAAGGACAGGGACACCAAGGGCAGCAGCAAATCCTGGTGTGGTTAAACCTGCCTTTTCCTACAGTGGGAAGGAGCCAACCTGGATGTGTCACACGGGGTCAGATTCCTGGTTTTAATCCCTTTTATGCTGCAGCAAATTCCTGTATATTTTTGAAAACTGCTTTTCCTTCTCCTCCACCCCCCCGAGTTTAAGATTAAGCTTCTGGATGTTTAAAGGTTTTCCCGATTCCTCCACAGTGGGGTGTACAGGGAAATGAGTTGTGAATTCACAGAAGTCCTAACCCAAATTTCAGTGACAAATTAAAGGTTTCGAGTGGACACATTTAAACTCTGGAGATCTTTGTTATTGTGATGTAAATGCTGAGGGGGATGTTTGTTTTCTATTCGTGTGTCACAGCTTGATGGTTAAAGTAACAAACTCTTACTTTCCTTGTTAAATTTAAATTTCCCTTTGTTAAATTTAAATTAAACAAGAAGACACGGCTGCCTGCTTCCCGGTAACTTTAGTGGAGAGGGGAATTGCTATGAAATTGTACTTTTGTTATCCATCTGGCAAGATGCATATCAGCTCAGGCACTTTAAAGTTCCCTTTGCTCTGGGATAGTGCAGCTCTCACAGCACTTAGAGCACGGGCTGTGTCATCCCTGACTGCCTTGCTTTGTGTTTAGAGGGCTCAGGTGGGGTGTTCCCTCTTTGATCCCATTTTGGGAGGTGAAACCCCTTGGTTGTTGGATCCTCCCTGAGCAAAACACCCCGCTCTCCTTGCTCCCAGCTTTTCTCTCTCCTCGCTAAACTCGAGCGAGGGGTGTTGATAATTTGGATTATGCAGCTAAGTGGCTGGAGCGTGGCTGGCTGTCTCCTCCCCTTCCTGAGCTTCGGCCCTAGCCAGCTCGGCTCTGGAATGACAGGCATTCCTGCGTGAAGGGAGCTGGCACGGACACCTATTTATGAGCCTGGAGTGCCCGGCCATGGGGTCCGGGGAGAGCCGGAGCCGTGCCGGACCGTCGGACACCGGAGCCGTGGCCTGAGCGCCGGAGCCGCCTCGCTCGCCGGGCTCCTTCCCAGCCCACGGCGTGGATTTATCGTTCTAAAGGGTTGAAGCGCTCCCAGGGTAGAGTTTTCCTCTCTCTCTCTCTCTTTCTCCCCTCCCGCCTCTTTCCCCGGGAGCTGCTCAGGACAGGATCCCATGGGGCAGCCGCACTTCTCCAGACCGGTCAATCCAGCTGCTCCCGGTGAGTAATGGAGGGAATTCGGGGCTGCGGCGGGGCAGGAGCGCAGGTGGAACGGAGGAGTCGGGAGGAGTGGAATGCGGGGCTTGTGTAACCTGTGCCCGGCTGGGGAGAGAAACCAGAGAGAAAGAACTCCGTTTCCTGCCTTCCTCCTGCTCGTGGCACGTGCAACATGTTCCCTGATCCTCAGACAGACTCTGGGACGCTGTTTTTAGGGACAGCCTCTGCCTGGCGTGGATTCAGGGATACCACCTTCGCAAACACTTGGACAGCAGTAAAATTCACCTGTGTGGGGCAGGAGCCAGCCCTGACAGTGATCCCGAACCAAAGGCACCCGGAGTTGCCTCCTTGGGCGTGATGTCACCCAGTTTTGGGGGCAGCTGTAGCAGCTTTTTGGGGGAGAAGGGCTTGGCAACCATCTCCCTGCTTGTTTTCCCTCTCCACTGTGAGGTATCTCGGTAACAGACAGCCTGGAGCAAACACAAGTGTGTTAAGCCCTGGAAGCAGCTCCACTTCCCGGACACAGTGTTATTCCAGGTCTGTCGTGGGTGCTGTTCCCGGCACTGGCAGTGAGGAGACTTTCCCATCCTGCTGTTCCCATTTCTCTCATCCCCACTTGCTGTCACCTGGCTGGGCTGAGTCATTCACTCTCATCTGTAACATGGGATAATCTGATTTCTTTTAGAGAAACACTCAGCATTGGCACAAAGCTCCCCCAGACAGACATTATATTTCTTCATTCTTTTTAACTTCTATAACTTTGAACCTACCTGGTATTTTCAGGGCTCAGATGAAACCAGTGATTCTCTTCTCCCCAACAGTCTTGTTCAAGAGCTGCTAAAAATAAAGTGATAGAGAGACAGAGTGGAAGGGAGAAGTAAAACTTCAGTTGTCTTCACTGTACTGTCAGTGCAGATTAACAGCATCTTCTCCTTGGATTTATTCAGTTAGAAGCCAGCCTGGCCAGTCTTGGGCTTTTCTCTCATCAAGCACCAGTAACAGTGGTAATTTCCAGGGGAGTGGGCTCTTGGGGTAATGACTGTGCTTTGCCAGCAGACCTGGTGTTTTCTCAACTGGTCATTTGCTCTCTGAAGTCTTTTTTTTTTTTTCGTGGCACAGCTCCCACAGTTCCTACTGATTAAATGGTGAACGTGAGGACGTGGTTCTTGCATTAACTGTGGCAGGATGCTGTTAAAAAGAGTCCTCTGAAGATTATGGTGATTAGATAAG